TTTCCTGATGTGTCCCCCCCCACCCCATTTCGTATTGTTTCTTGCCAAATGGCCGCGGTGTCACCAAAAGGCTCTGCCCCCCCCCTCTCAGATCCTTGGGGAGCAGAGGGGCAACCCCTCGAGCTGAGCTGAGCTGAGACCTTGCAGACTCGCTGCACCCTGGGCTGGGGAAGGGGAGAGGATCCCCGTAGCCCCCCCCAGCCTCACCCTGGGAGGTCCCTCTGCCTCCCACCCTCTCTTGGCTCCTCTCCCCGTAGCCCTGGGGCCACCAGGACCATGGCCACGGGCGAGCTGACGGAGCTGGAGGCGGCCATCGAGAAGATCGTCACCGTCTTCTTCACCCACGCGGGGCAGGAGGGCAGGAAGGGGACGCTGACGGCCGCCGAGTTCAAGGAGCTGGTCCAGCTCCAGCTGCCCAACCTGATGAAGGTGAGACGAGGAGGGAGGCACGTGGGGGGAGCGACTGGATCCCCCCGACTCCAGAGAAGGGCGACAAAGCTGGTGAGGGGTCTGGAGAATAAGTCTGATGAGGAGAGGCTGAGGGAGCTGGGGGTGTTCAGCCTGGAGAAGAGGAGGCTGAGGGGAGACCTTCTTGCTCTCTCCAACTCCCTGAAAGGAGGGTGTAGAGAGGTGGGGGTCGGTCTCTTTTCTCAAGTCCCAGGCGACAGGACGAGAGGAAATGGCCTCAAGTTGCCCCAGGGGAGGTTCAGGCTGGATATTAGGAACAATTTTGTCACTGAAAGGGTTCTCAGCCCTTGGAATGGGCTGCCCAGGGAGGGGGTTGAGGCCCCATCCCTGGAGGTGTTCAAAAGCCGGGTTGATGTGGTGCTGGGAGGGATGGTTTAGTGATGATGCTCCTTGTTTGTTGTGGGGGTGTCTATTTTTGTCAGTTGGGTTGACGGTTGGACAAGATGATCTTTAAGGTCCCTTCCAACCTAGAAGATTCTGGGATTCTGTGACTCCTCCTGCCCCCCTGAGCTGGGGGGCTGCTCCCGGTACCTGGGGATTTGGGAAGGAGAGTGAGCATCTCCCCCTTATCCCCGTCCCCGTCTCCATCCCGGTCTCTGGGGACTGGGATGAGCCTCCCCTGTCTGTCCCCTGCCCCCCTGCCCCCCCTTCCTGCAGGACGTCCCCTCCCTGGATGAGAAGATGAAGGAGCTGGACGTCAACCACGACGAGGAGCTGAGATTTGGGGAGTACTGGCGGCTGATCGGGGAGCTGGCCAAGGCCATGAGGAGGGAGAGAGCGGGGAAGAAGCAGTGATGGGGGTCCACGTGGGGCTAAATAAAAGAGGTTTCCCCCCCACCCTGAGCATTGTTGAGGTTCTTAACCCCAGGGGAGGGGGGTGAATCCCAATTTGGGGTGTCCATCTCCTCCTTTGCCCAAATCTACCCATGGCCCAGCACCGGGAGCGGTGGGTCGGGGGGTCCCTCTGCCGTGGGGTGGCTGCCGTGGGGAGCTGGGGATGGATGGACCCGGCCTGGCTTGTGGGGGTGCCACCCTGCGCCCCACAAACACCTTCCTGCTGGGCTGTGGGGGTAGCTGGGGGGCTGCTCCCGGTACCTGGGGATTTGGGAAGGAGAGTGAGCATCTCCCCCTTATCCCCGTCCCCGTCTCCATCCCGGTCTCTGGGGACTGGGATGAGCCTCCCCTGTCTGTCCCCTGCCCCCCTGCCCCCCCTTCCTGCAGGACGTCCCCTCCCTGGATGAGAAGATGAAGGAGCTGGACGTCAACCACGACGAGGAGCTGAGATTTGGGGAGTACTGGCGGCTGATCGGGGAGCTGGCCAAGGCCATGAGGAGGGAGAGAGCGGGGAAGAAGCAGTGATGGGGGTCCACGTGGGGCTAAATAAAAGAGGTTTCCCCCCCACCCTGAGCATTGTTGAGGTTCTTAACCCCAGGGGAGGGGGGTGAATCCCAATTTGGGGTGTCCATCTCCTCCTTTACCCAAATCTACCCATGGCCCAGCACCGGGAGCGGTGGGTCGGGGGGTCCCTCTGCCGTGGGGTGGCTGCTGTGGGGAGCTGGGGATGGATGGACCCGGCCTGGCTTGTGGGGGTGCCACCCTGCGCCCCACAAACACCTTCCTGCTGGGCTGTGGGGGTTGTTTGGCGTGGCAGGGTGGCGGGGATGTGGCTGGCACCGGGGTGGGAGCATCCCCGGCGGCGATGCCGTGGTGGCCACCACCTCCGGGGCATCAACCCCCATCCTCTCTAGGGGTTTGGGGGGCACAAGGTGGGGGTCACACCCACATGTCCCTGGCTCAGCACCCCTAAAGGATCTCCCATTCCTGGCGTTTGGCCCCAAAACCCCCATCCCTGCTGGGAAGTGGTGAAATCCCCACCACCGGGGTGACCCATCATGGTGTCTTCGGTTGTTCCCACCGGTTTTTGGGGACGGAAGGGAACGATGGAGCCATCTCTTGTGGCCGGGAAGGAGGCGTTTCCCTGGCCCCACGCTGGCCCTGGGCCAGGCTGGGGGAATTGAGACGCCCTTGCACCACACCACACCGCAGCCGGCGGCGCGCAGGGGAGCTCCCACTCACACCTTCCCCGCCGTATAAAACCCCCGCGCCGCCCCGTCGCCCGCCCAGAACCCCGGGAGAGCCCGTGGAGCAGGTAAGTGGTGGCCCATCCACCACCACGGGATGAGGGAGGAGAGGGAAGGGGGTGGGGAACCCCTACCCGAGGGTCCCAGCTACCCCTTTGCACACCCCCAAAAAAAAAAAATCCTTCCACTCTTTGCTCCCACGCTTGGCTCTGCCGCGACTTGCCGCCGGGGCTGGGATGTTCCTGCTGTTGGGACGTGTCCCGGCAGCTCAACCGCATCCCGGGGCTCCTTCCTCGCCCTTCGCTCAAGTTCCTGGAGCCCAAAGAAGGGGAAACTCCCCCCCTTCTCCTCCTCAAAGCTGAGAGCTGAGCTTGGTTTTCTTCCCTCCCCTCCGCTGCCAGCTCCCCAAGACCCTTTCGGAGAGGACACCTCCACCACCTCCACCACCTCCACCACCACCGAGGACCTACAGACGCCGCGAGGAGCAGCATGGGCCAGTGCAACTGCCGCAAGAAGCGCAAGGTCCATGAGCGACGCCGCGGCACCGGGAGGGCTGGGACCCCCATCATCCCCCCCACAACAACGGGGTGTGGGGCTCGGGGGTGACAACCACCCCCCTCTGCTTCCCCTCCCTGGGAGCAGAGCCCTGGGCACGGGGGTGACCCAGAGCCAGCCCCATCCTGGAGCCGAGCTCCAGCAGAGGAGCCGGGGGGATATTTTTGGGGTTCGGTGAAGACTTGGAGCCGCTTGAAAGCTGGGGGAACCAGGCAGCCTTTCTCCAGCTCCCCTGGACCTCGCCTTTGGGAGCCACCTTCCCTCTCCGAGGATGCCCCAACGGCAGAAAGTCTCCTGTTTTCCTCGGCTTTCAAACTGGGGGGGTGGTTTTTCGGGGGGGAGGGTCTCCATCCCGCACCCCTTTGCACCTGCGGAGGATTCGGGGCAGCGGGGGCCGAGGCTGTGAAGATCCCTGGGTTCTCCTTTCATGGGGCATCTCCTGATGTGGTTTCACGGGGAAAACCACAGATGCTGAGTCAATCACCCTCGTTTCCCTTCAAAATGCAGCTCTGGCTAATTAGCCGGGCGCGTGGGGCTGGCCGGTCTCTCCCCCCACCCCCCCTAAACCCCATTGGGGAGGGAGAAGGGGGGGTCCCACCACTGCTGAGCCCCATCCCGGCGGGTGCCGGAGTTGTCCCGGGCACTGACTCACACCAAGGAGAAGAAGAACCAGTCCGGACGGCGGTGGCGGCCCCCCTGCGCCGTGGGTGTAGCGCCGGGAGACGCCGGGGTGGCTGAGCCCCGCTGGCCCCGGGCAAGGAGAAGTCCGGGCAAGCAGAGTTGGGGGGTGTGTGTGGAATTTAGGAGGTGACAAGGCTGTGGAGAGGGGTTGTCGCATGGAGACAGAGGGGTACGGCAGGTCTAGGGGGGTCTTGAGGTTGGGCAGAGCCTCTGCGGAGGGATGTGACATCTGGATGGTGGGTTCTGGCATCTAGATGGTGGGTACTCACATCTGGATGGTGGGTTCTCAGACCTGGATGGTGGGTTCTCACACCTGGATGGTGGGTTCTGGCATCTGGATGGTGGGTTCTCACATCTGGGTGGTGGGTTCTCAGATCTGGATGGTGGGTTCTGGCATCTGGATGGTGGGTTCTCACACCTGGATGGTGGGTTCTTGCATCTGAGTGGTGGGTTCTCCCATCTGGGTGGTGGGTTCTCACACCTGGATGATGGGTTCTGAGCTCTGGGTGGTGGGGTCTCATGTCTGTATGGAGTGGTCCTGCATCTGCAGAAGGGTCTTGCATCTGTATGGTGGGATCTCATGTCTGGATGGTGGGTTCTCACGTCTGGATGGTGGGTTCTCACGTCTGGATGGTGGGATCTCACATCTGTACGGAGGGGGATGACGTCGACAAGGAGGGGTTGAACATCTGGAGGGCTGAACCCCTCACATCCCTGTGGAAGGGTAGAACATCTGCAGAGAACACCGGCACATCTGCTCAGGGGGGTGTCCCACCTATTCGGGGGGTGTCCTGTCCATCTTGGGGGGGGGGTCCTGTCTACCTGGGGGGGATGTCCCACCGGTCCTCACCTTCTTTTCTCCCCCCCTCGTGCAGGATTGTCAGGAGCTCACCGACGTGGAGCGGGCCATCGAGACCGTCATCAACCAGTTCCACTGCTACGCCGTGAAGGGGCAGAAGGAGTACCTGACCCCCAACGAGATGCAGGAGCTGGTGGTGCAGAAGCTGCCCCACCTGGGGAAGGTGAGGGGTGGGGACCATGCTGGGGTGGGCAGGGGGGCTGCTTGTGGGACGCCACAGCCCCTTCACCCAACTTGGTTTTTCTTCCCCCCCCTGCTTCTTGCAGTGCGTTGGGCCACTGGAAGAGAAGATCGAATGCATGGGCAACCCTGATGAAGCCAAGCTGGAGTTTGGAGAGTACTGGGACATGATGGGGGACGCGGCCAAGGGCTGCCGGAGGAAGTAGAAGGTGGTGGGGGATGGGAAGGCGCCCGAGGCCTCAGGCTCTGCACCGAGAAGCGCGAGAGGCTGCTGGTCCCGGTGGGATGCGCCTGGAAAAACCGCAGCGTCGCTCCCGCCGGGGCTCGTCTCCTCCCCGTGTCCCCATCTGGGGCGCAGGGATCCCCCTCCCCACCTCCATCCCTACCTTCTCCCACTTCTCCTTCCCACCAGGAAACCTCCCTTCCCATCCCCAGCTCCGGTCCCTGCCTCGGAGGGAAGGAGATGGCAAGGGGGGTTCCCAACCCCAACTCTGGAGCCGCCTTTCTCCGTCCTTCGCTCCAGAGCCTCTACCCCCGGGGTTGTCCCGTGCTTCCAGCACCTTCAGGAGCTCCGGGGCCACCACCGATGTCCCCCTGCGTGGCCGGGGTGTGTTCCCGGTTGCAGGTCCCCCAGCCCCGGAGCATCACAGCCAGAGGGATTCGGCTCCTTTTCCCCAAAAAGCCCTTGGATGTGCGGGCTTGTCCCCCCCGTCCCTGTGCCCTGCCACCCGACAGGACCCCCATGGTCACAGGCCCTGCCTGATGCTTCCAGCACCTTCAGAGGTTCTGGGGCCACCACCGATGTCCCCCTGCGTGGCCGGGGTGTATTCCCTGCACTCCCCCCGGCGCGGGGACCCCAGGTTTTGGGGTGTTGTGGTGGGGTGTGCCCACCCAGTTGGTGCTCCCCTACTTGCCCCTGGCCGGGGGATGCTGGCCCCCCTTGGCTGGCGGCTGGGCTCGGGGCTGGGACGGTGGCGGGTTGTAATCGGCTTGTGTCACTTGCAACCGTTTTTGTATAAATTAATAAAGGAAAACACTGGGAAAAAAAACCCAAAAACCCAAAACCAAACCACCAAACCCCCAGCCGGGGGATGAGGGTTTGTCCTCGTTTGTCCTTCGTGGGAGAGGGGAAAAAAAAAGGGGGGGACGGGGAGGGACGGGGATGTGGCCATCGGGGCTCTGAGCATCACTGGGTTGCACGGTCCCAGTGCAGGGCATGAGGGTGCAAGGGATGTGGTGGGCGTGCAAGGGGTGCTGGAAGTGTGCAAGGGATGCTGTGGGTGTGCAAGGGGTGCTGTAAGCGTGCAAGGGATGCTGCAGGTGTGTAAGGGATGCTGGAAGCGTGCGAGGGGTGCTGCAAATGTGTAAGGGATGCTGGAAGTGTGCAAGGGATGCTGCGGGCACGGAAGGGATGCTGCAGACGTGCAAGGGAGGCTGCAGTTGTGCAAGGGATGTTGCGGGTGTGTGTGGGATGCTGGAAGTGTGCAAGGGGTGCTGTGGGCGTGTAAGGGATGCTGGGACTGTGCAAGGGATGCTGGAAGTGTGCAAGGGATGCCGTGGGCATGCTCTGGGTGTGCGCGGTGCTGCGACGTCCATGGTGCTGTGGGGGTGTGTGTGTCACCACGAGTGTGCGTGGGCACTGAGGGTGTGCACGGCCAGTTCCCGGGGTGACTCGTGCCCGGTGGTCCCCAAGAGGGGACCCCACAAACCATGTGCTGCAGACGTGCAAGGGATGCCATGGGTGTGCGCGGTGCTGCGACGTCCATGGTGCTGTGGGGGTGTGTGTGTCACCACGAGTGTGCGTGGGCACTGAGGGTGTGCACGGCCAGTTCCCGGGGTGACTCGTGCCCGGTGGTCCCCAAGAGGGGACCCCACAAACCATGTCTCTGGACCAGGCACCCCGAGGGCTTTGGGCGTGTGGCTCCACATGTGGAGGGAGCCCAGAGGGGACCCCAAAATCACGAAGACCCAAGATCCACGAGGGCAGCAGGGAGATGCCACCCATGCTGGGAGAACGTGGGATTTCTGTCTAATTACGGCAAATTAGGAAACAGTAAATGCCACAAAGCGGTGGCGCAGTGGGATGGGACAATTAGCTCAGGCACCGAGCGCACGGAGAGCCAAGAAACAGCCTGGAGAGGGTGCAGGGCACCCACTGAACCCCATTATCCTGATTTCTTCTGCCATTCCTGCTGAGAAGAGGAGCCCGTGGGCAGCCCTGGATGGGGGGGACCCCAAAAAGGGAGAGGGTGATGGCATCTCAGCAACCCCCACGTTGGGTTGGAAGGGACCTCTGGAGATCATCTAATCCAACCCCCTCACCTTGCGAAGAAAATGCAATAAAATGGATGAACAAACCCAAACCAACCCAAACCAACCCGAAGCCCTGAGAAATGTGATGAAACCGGGGCAGGGTGGCAAGTCCTCCCGGGGCCGGCGGCCGGCGCGGCCGCACCGACACCGCGGCTGGGCCACAGGCCACCCTCTGTCTCCTCTCACCTTGGGGTGGATTTCACAACGACCGGGGAATGACTATTTATTGTTCCTGCCTTGGAAATAAATACATGGAAATTAAGCAGAAAGGTGTGGCGTGCATTTAATTAGAGACAGGAAATGTGTCAAATGGTTGGGGTGATGGAAAGGGGTTTTGGGGGGGAGGGAAGGGAAGGGAAGGGAAGGGAAGGGAAGGGAAGGGAAGGGAAGGGAAGGAAAAAGGGGAGCTGGGACTCCCAGATCCTCTTCCCAGCACCAGGCTGGGAATGTGCCATGGGAGTGGGGACCTATTTCTGGTTTGGTGACTGGTTCCCTGGCGTGACAGTGCGCTGTCGGGAAGAGGGCAATTCCATCCAGGTGAGCCAGCCCTCGATAAGTATCTGTTGTCTCTGGAAAGTCCTCGGAGGTGGCAGCAACAGCTCAGCCCTTTGCCGGGGCGATGGGTGCCCTTCGGTGAGTCAACGCTCACCGTGGTGGGCACCGTCGCTGGTGGAAACGCCAAAATAGGGATTTATCCCTGACAAAGTGGCCATTGTCTGCAGGAGAGGTGGCTCCAGGGTGCCCATCACTGTGGTCATCAAAGACCCCCCCAAAGCCAAGGCTCAGTATTCCCCCTCTACAAGGAGGTCCCATGGAGCAGAGCTTGTCCATGAGAAGCCAAAATGCTCCTGGATCCTTCAGACCCGGAGCTGGGGGGGGAAGAAGGGAGAGAAAGCAACCCCATGGGAGCAATCAAAATGGCTGGGAACTGTCTTGTGATGGGTTTGGATGGTACGTGGCTGCTCCGAGCGCACGCACACACCCTTGGATGCCTTGTAAAAATAAAGGGCCTGGATGTGGTTGTGACATCTGCCAGGCAGAGGAGAGTAATGAAAGCCCATGATTCAGAGGTGAGCTGTTTGCCTGCAGGGTCGGGGAGGGATTCCCACCCTCCCTGGGATGTTGCATCAACGACACCGGAGCATCTCTCGGCCGAGAGCGGGTTCGCTTCCTCCCAACCGAGATTAGGAAAAGCCAGTGGAAGGAGCTGGGATGACACACACATCGGGGTTGGTTGTTTTTTTTTTATCCCAGGATGGGAGTCCCAAAGGTCCCTCTGAGCAGGTGGCTCCTGCCTCTAATCTATCACCTCCTACTTTGCATCCTTAAACACGCAGCTCCCAACGATGCCCCTATCTAATCTTGGCATCGCATCGCTGCGCCACTTGCTCTGGTAGACGTGCAGGGGTACAATTTGCTGGGAAAAATTAATTAGGGATGTGACTTTACGAGCGCAGCTACCAGCTGAGAAGAGCTTTATCTGTCCCAGTGCATCTAGAGGTGGCTGAGAGCTGGATACTGCCCTGCTTGGAGCTGGTGCTTGTGCTTCCAGGGCCCCAGAGACGCATGACAACCCCTTTCACCCTTGAAAACAAGAGGTTTTGGTTCAAATAAATGATGTCCCCCTCCCAATAAATGATGCTGGACACACTGGAGCCCTGTGGTCTTGCCGGTGTGGGGTGGTTTGGGGCAGGATGGGTGGTGGGGATGGTCCAGTGGGTGGTGGGGATGCTCCAGTGGGTGGTGGGGACACTCTGTGGGATGGAGGAGCCAGGATTTTCAGCTGGTGGACGGCGCTGGGTCTGCAAAACCCTAGGAGAAGGCTGGAGCTTCGCTGTTCCTGGAAAACCACCCCCTTCCCACCACCCCTTCCAGGCGGTGGGGTCTTCTGGGGATGGTCCCCAACCACCGGCCGTCACCCCATGGCCACGGTCACAGGCAGAGCAGCCCCCGGCAGGGAGACGGAGCCCGCCGTCGGGGTGTCGCAATCCCAGGGAGCCATTTCCCAGGTGAGCCCCAGCCCGGGAACGCCCTGGGAACGTCAGGGAGGGGCGGGAGCCTCTTTAAAAACCTGGTTGGGCCCGTCGGTATGGGTGCAAGGTGAGGAGAGAGCGGGCGTCATCGGCTCCCCACTGCCAAATCGGCCACAGACGGACACGGTGGGACCCCCCGGACGGAGCCAGGTGAGGCTCTGGGCTGGGGACAGACGGAGAAGGAGGTACCCTTGGGGTGAATATTCAACCAGGAGCAGCCCTGGGACGTGCTGCTACAGGTTGGGTGGTGGAAAACCCCTTCCCGAGCCCGTCGGCAGCACCGCGCGCGCGGGGGTCCAAGGCGGAGAGGACCCGTCGGATGTGGGGGGAGCCCCGTGGGGAGCCAGGCTGGGGGGGGGCTGGTGGTCCAGCACAGGGCTTGGTGGCATCCATCCACCTCTGCTGCACCCATCGACCGAGAGCCCGGCACATGGGGCTGCTGGTGGGGTCCGGACGCTGGAAAAAGGGGCATTTCCCCCTTGTTTTCCTCACGGTGATGGCAGGGTTGTGCCCAGCTGAGGGTCCCGGATGGGGGCACCTCATGTGAGGAAGAAGATGGAGAGGTGAAAGAGTGGGGGGGACCACTGTGGTGGGAGGGGAGCAGCCAGCGAGCCCCATCCTGCCCATCCTGGTGCCCAGCCGTGCCGGTGTCCAAGCGTCCCACCACGGTGGTGATGTCCCCGTGCCCCAGGATAGCCCCAGGTGGGGGGGTGACATGGTGGGCCTGGGGTGCAGGTGATGGTGGGGCTGTGTGGGCTGCTCCACCGTGGAGGGGCTGGTGCTGTGAGTCAGCGAGGAGGCAGCAGCCATGATGCCCCGAGGATGGGCTGGGCGCTGGTGGCAGGGGACCAGCGACACCGGGGTGGGGTCTGCAGGTGGCAGACAATTTTTTTGGCAATTCATGGCCCAGGACGAGAAATGGCTGGAGGTCTCCAGTGACTGGCTCTCGAGGGGCCATGGTGGGACCCCCTGCCAGCACTGGGACTGTCCGACAGCCACCCTGGTGACCAGTGTCCTGTAAACTGGGGACAGACCCTGGTCCTGGGATGGGGTGGCACAGCGAAGGCTCCTGTGAGGACAAGGACAGCTCGGGAGGGCAGCTGGCTGTCCCAAAACACACAGGGACGAGCCTGAGAGTGTGGGGGAGCCCGGGGCTGAGCCTCGTGTCTCTTGTCACCACCCTGATGCGGCGCCGTCCTCGGCCCGGGGCTGAATTGGGGAGGATCAGTGCAAAGAGAGAGGGGACCCGAGCCAAGTCTGGGGCACCCGGGCAGGTCCTGCCTGCTCCCAGGGAGCCGCCGGGCTGTAGACACCCTCCTGGGTGATGTCCCCAAAAGGGGGACACTGGGCCAACCCTCTGAGCTCCACAAACGCCACCTTGTTGGCTGAGAGAGTTGGTGGGGGGGTTCAACCTGGAGAAGAGAAGGCTCCAGGGAGACCTTGGAGCCCCTTCCAGTCCCTCAAGGGGCTCCAGGAAAGCTGGGGGGGACTCTTGATGAGGGAGGGGAGAGATGGGATGAGGGGGAAGGGTCTGAAGCTGAAAGAGGGGAGATGGAGCTGAGATGTGGGGCAGAAGTTCTTTGGTGTGAGGGTGGTGAGAGCCTGGCCCAGGTTGCCCCGAGAAGCTGTGGCTGCCCCATCCCTGGAGGGGTTCAAGGGCAGGTTGGAGGGGGCTTGGAGCAACCTGGGGGTTGGACTAGATGATCTTTAAAGGTGTCTTCCAAGCCAAACCATTCCATGGTTGATTCTATGATTCTTCCAAGACCCATGGGGCCACCGCTGCCGTGATGGTTGGCGTCGCACCCCGGGCTGGTGTAAATCAGGACGGTTCCACGACAGGGAGCAATGCGGCCCAGCTTGCCCCGACGGGGCAGGAAAGAGCCAAGGCCGGACAAGGTGACGCAGTTTCCGTCCCTGCCTGCCCTGCATCCTGCCCAGGATGCTGCCGCCGGACCCCGTGACAGGGACCATCCTGTTGGTTCCATCCCTAGGAAGGAGCTTCCTGGCTTTGGGGGGACAGCGGAGAAAGGAAGGGGGACCCCAGACACCGAGCAGGCAGGACCTTGGGGAGTGGGGGACACCGGCGCTGGGCTTGTGGGGGGCTCGGACAGGTCCAGACCTGCCCTATTGGGGTGTTCCCGGAGCCGTGAAGCAAGAGGAGGGTTGGCTGGTAATTCCTGCCCTCGTCCCGCCGCAGCTCCCAGCCCCATTCCTCCCTAATGAGCCCTGGGAACCGTCGGCCGCGGCCCCGGCGCTGCGGAGCCCCGCGGCCCCGGCGCCATAATTGCCACCCCATCCCACGCGCGGGGGCGGCCGCCCCAGGGGGGCAGGTGGGGCTGGATTTTTGGGGGTGATCCTGGACGAACAGCCACATGGGGAGACCAGGACCCCCTTTTTTGCTAAAATGGATGAACAAACCCAAACCAACCCAAACCAACCCGAAGCCCTGAGAAATGTGATGAAACCGGGGCAGGGTGGCAAGTCCTCCCGGGCCGGCGGCCGGCGCGGCCGCACCGACACCGCGGCTGGGCCACAGGCCACCCTCTGTCTCCTCTCACCTTGGGGTGGATTTCACAACGACCGGGGAATGACTATTTATTGTTCCTGCCTTGGAAATAAATACATGGAAATTAAGCAGAAAGGTGTGGCGTGCATTTAATTAGAGACAGGAAATGTGTCAAATGGTTGGGGTGATGGAAAGGGGTTTTGGGGGGGAGGGAAGGGAAGGGAAGGGAAGGGAA